CTTTTTCTACAAAATAATTGCAATGAAGAATGCAGGACCAACAGTAATTCAGCTTATTTATAAATTTCCACCGGATCGCAATTTTGGTAGTTGATTTCAGGAACTATCTACAGTAATTAATTAATTCGCAGTTTTCAAGCGGTGGATTCCATTGTGCTTCCTAGCAACATATTTTTTAACTTTATTCACACGAGTTATTAAATTTCGTGAAATGGTGAGCAATGATTTATCTGACATATTCACTAGATACCGCAACATTAATTTACAGAAATGTCGAAATAAGAAATCTAACCTCCGACTGATTACCAATGTGCGGTTCGTTTTCCATGGATGTTTTCAATAGGGCTTGATGCATTCGCTGCGCAATAGATGGCTTTGGGCTGCTATGCCAATATGCCGGATCATACAACTGAAGTCATTTAATGGAAATAAGTAGAAACTTCATTATTGAATTGAAATTGACAAAAGGAGGAATTCCTTATTAGTAACACCATTCTGCTATCGAAGTTAGAATAAAGCTTTCGTATTAAGCTAGCGCGGAAGTGAGTTTCTTGCATTGTTGAATCTGGTTTTTTCATACTGTAATGCATTCTTAAATTAATGTTACCATATTATATATTGTTTCAATAATCCTGCTTTAGATTTTTTCTTTCCTTTAAGAAATCTAATCCTACCCGCAATAACTTGAAATCCATAGTGTTAAACTGCGACTACTTGCCAATATTTCCCCTAACATCTGCAGAGAGTTATTAACTTTAAACTCTAAGATGACGATTGCCAGCCAATTTTGAATATTAAGTATTACTATAAATATGAAGAGAGGCAGCAAAAAGAGTTTTTCTTTAAGCATGAGATCCTTTCTAAATGCCACTATCACAGGGACAATAAAAGATGATAATTTAAGCAAATCGAAAAACCCTGCATTTTCTTAGAGTAATAAAATTTTTTCTTTAATCAACAGAAGTAGTGTCAAACCTGCTCAGCATCTGAACAATGAACATATACAGGGAAAAAATGAAAAAGAAAAACATTTATCCAAATCATAAGAAAAACTAAAACATTTTAGTAATTTGAAAAAGTAACAAACCTGATCGGAAAAAGCGAGAGAATTTCGTGGTGACGCAGGATGATTTAGAGGTTTCGCTGTATGCGCTTCATCCGATACCATCACATTATCATCATCATGAAGTGAATCCTCTGCTCCTCCTTAAAAAAAATGATACCTCTCAAGAGTGAGTAAGTGAAAACCTCACATACTTATTGATTTCACTTTAGCTTTATTCTTTGAATAGCAACTTCCTTATTGAGCCTACCAGCACCAGCACACTACCAAGAAATGTTTCGAAAGTTTGCATAATTGGCTCAAATAACATTTCAGACTGCATCATTGTTATGAAAGCAACAATAAAATTATTGTTGGTGGAAATTTATTTGGTAATAAAGAATTATTTGTTATTTTAGTTGATTATTAGCAAGAGTCAAAGAAAAGAGCCAAGAAACAAACCCATATCTTCCATCTCTCCACTCGAATTGTTTTCAAGCAGATGACCAAAATGCTCAACTAGTTGCCGTACCGGTGCTGACGTCCTCGACATGTCATCTCCCATTTGTGAAATATTTCGACTCGTTATTTCTTTTGATGCTACGCTGCAAATTTTGAAAATGAACAATTACGGAAGATTGGAAGAGTGTTTCCAGTAGGAAAATTAGGTCTTTAAATCAGGGAATTTAGTCATACAACTAACACTGTTTTTAAACCGATCAACATAAGATTTAGCTAGCATATGACCAAATATAATAACCGAAACGGGTCTGCCGTTCACAACATTAAATTGAATTATACAGTGCAATTTTGAAAATAAATTGAATTAAGAAGGCGCCAAAAATGATTAAAGCAACTCTACGCTTTATGTAAGTGTAACCTGTTTTGGTTATAAAACTTTACTTCCGTTGAATAAATACCACAACTCTTTCTAGTTATGTTAAAGAAATATTTTTTGGCTGAGAGTAATTCCATTCTACTAAATCTTTGGCCAATTATCAAAAAGTGTTCTCATTCAACGCGAAGAATCTGTACAAAAATGAACACAAATGAATAACACTGAATAACGGTCGAGCCACTGATGTGAGTGCAGAAGACTTCGGCACACTCCATAGCGCTTTGGGATTATTAGCATATTTAAGGCAAATTATTGGAAAATTTCATAATCTGAATGTCGACGACCAAACAGGTACCAATCAGATGTGATTAACATGACGCTGTCTAACAAACATGACCTTTTCGTATGAGAGAAATGAATGAAGGAAGAATTTTAATGATGATAATAAAAAGGTATTGCTCAAAATTCAAGAGGAAACGCAAAATTCGTAAATATTGTTCCGTGAAATTTCGAAAGTCATCAGAAGTAAAAGAAAAAAGAAAATAAACCTTGCGACAATTTTGAAAAATCAATTCTTACACTAGTTCATCTTGACTACAAGTGTTCAGCTGTTCATCTTGTTCATCTTGACTATCACTTAACAAGTGTGACAAATGCTCGTAAAAAATTATGTAAATCTGAAACGTGAGAACATTCCCTAGTTATAAGAACGGAATCTACTTTTTGCTTCTGGCAAAGTGGAAAAAATCGTTAAAACGTTGAAAACAGCTGTTAAGACAGCTATTATGAGTTGATTTTTTAAAAAAAAAACAGTTAGACCAGATATTGATGATAATACAAGCTATTATGTAAATATTATTTGCTATTAATTCTTAGCAATCCTAGCAACGATTTTAATAATTCTTCATATATTCTCGACGTTACTGGGAAACGACTCTGTTCTATGTTTTCTTATAATCATCTTAAAAATCGCAAAAAGTCGAAATGTTAGGCTTGCAAATCATTTTAAGAAATACCTATGCGATAAAGGTAGTGAGAGATTTGGTGATAAGGGACTACTCTTTTTTATGCCCTTCTACAATGTGAACTGACGAAATAAATTGTGTGGTGTTAGTGGAACAATTCATGTTCACTTCTTCAAATTAATTTGATTGATGTTATACTCATCAATTCTATCATCTGCAAAAGTATGCAGCACAAAGTCTACAATGCTGCAGGAAACCTTATGTGATCATAAAAAAGCTACAAAGCTGGTAATTCTTCGCGTGTTCAGCTGATTACGGACAAAAAAACATGACTCGTAATAGCAAATTTTGCAAAGATCCAGCCTGTTTTCACAACTAACTGTTGAAGAAGGCATTTCTTGATGATAACAATCTGTTGTACAGTTGATAAAAATGAAAAAGGACAGCAATCTAACGCCAGTTCATCATTTCCTTGATACTACTCTTTACATAAAACAGTATATTCTCCAACTTATACTGGAAAGATATGACCTTGTCAGTCAAATATTCACTAAACTCGATGATATTAGCAAATGAAAAATTTTTTATCAAGAAAGGTGCCCCCTCACTTTTTCTTTATTTGGTTAAATTTCTAAAGAAGCTAACGAATGAATGTCGAAGAACGATGAAAATATGTTTCAAACAAATGCTTCTGAACAAAAATATTATTATGAATTAAAAGGTAAAATCGGACTGCCCCAATGATTGAGAACCTAATTAAGGGGCATATAGAAAATTTGGCTATCAAAACTGAATTTTAATGTGAATGATAATGTAAGGAAGAGTTTAACAGAAATTTTTCTTCTCTCCTAAAACTAACGTCTGAATAAGCAATTATTTAATAAATTTTATTCCTACTGAAGAAGTCACTTGATCTAAATTGGTAGCTTAGCAAATTATCAAGTTAAAAATAAAACTTTACTATTTCATTTTTATTCTGACTGACTGTTTTACCTTCGCTAAGATCTCTATGCGAAGAAATTATGATAACTGAAATTTCAACATAAAGGAATGAATATTAAATTATCCGGAAAAGCAATAAAATAGTCTTATATTATCGTTAAAAAACGCTGTGCGGCATATAGTAGCTAGCAAAGCATATCTGCTAAAGACAGATAAACTGCGCTGAGGAAAGAAATGAGATTTGCATGATATAAATTGATAATTGAATTTAAATTTAGCATTGAACAAAAAGAAAAAGGATTCCCCAAGGAATCAATTGGATACAACAATGGTGATGTGAAGAGCGGAACTGTGGACGACTCAATTAGCAATAAGAACTGGCCAAAGAGATATGGAAGTAGAAAAATACATTAAGTGGACGATAGCAAAAAAAAAAACCAAGAACCATTGGGAAGTGATAGAAAAGTGAAACTTTTAGGAAGTGATAGAAAGTGATATGGATTTTGGAAAATCCATTGGGAAGTGATATTTAATCTGCTTTCCTTTTAAATCTAACAAGCACATGACACTCTTGTTAACTTGGAAAGAATTTCCTCAAAGACCCGATCTCTGCGAAATGAGGCTCGATCTCGAGTGCTCTACCATATGGATTAAGAATATAGTTTACGAATGGGTATACAAGTGGTCTATCTTTACGAACGGATTTATGACCATTTCTTATTACTCTGGAATACGAAATGTACAGCGCAATGGAAGTGGAATTAAGGCCTATTATTCATTCATCAAATGGAAATCACTATCGTGAAGATTTTACTTACATCCACTGAAAAAAAAAACAAAAAAAAACATTGGCAAAAAAAACAAAAAAAAAATAAAAACATTGGCCTAAAATAAATGGATGATTAGGCTTTATTGTTTCCTAAAATGCATTGACAAATATGCATTGACCAGCTGCTGCCTAATCAACCAAAAAAATTTATTTTATTTTCCTCTCTTTTTTCTGCAAGAAAGCATTAAAAAAAATAAAAAGTGATTTAAAACAAAAAAAAAAAATAAAAAACAAAGAAACAAAAA